GCTACCTCCTCTTTTTCATCACCCTTGGGAGACGATGAACCCGATAACATATCTGGACCCCGAATCTTTCGGTTTATGTATATATATATAGATATAAGGTAGAGGATAGGGTCAAGAACGGAACCCTCGGGAACCCCACTCTCAACTGCAACTTCCGCCGACCGCTGATAACCAATAAATACGGTCTGATATAGACCAGTAAACAAGATTTCGATCCTCTTCAAAAGGTTGCTCCTTACCCCTATACGGCTGAGCTTGTATAGAATACGTTAATGGGTCAAAAGTTGAAATGCCGTCTACGAAGACTGTATGCACCGCGCTCCCTTCATCGAGCGCTCGGATCCATTCTTCAAGATACTAGAGCAGATTAGTTAAGCAGGACTTTCCTCTGCGCAATCTGTGCTGCTTGTCAGAAAGAGGTCGATGTTGCCCCACAAATTGCATCAGCTGGTGTTTGACTTTTTGTGTGCATGAGCTTGCAATATATAAAAGCGAAGCTGACCGGTCTGTAGTTATTTGTGGACGCCAAACTCCCGCTTTTATGGATGGGTGGGATCCACGCTGCCTTCCAATCGGATGGCAATTGGCCTGTATTAAGATAAATTCAGACGAGTAAGTACAGGAGTACTGACAGCTGTCCAGCCAGCTCTTTCAACAGTTTTGCAGGTATTCCATCAGGTCCGGACGACTCCTTTTCTCACATTTGTAAAAGTTAAGCTGACCCAATTGTGAAAGGAAAATTCACTGAGTCGGCGGTAGTTGAACCCGCACAGCAGTGAAGGCCGCTACGCGAAGCCATCGCTCTACCGATTTGAGCTACGACGCCACGCCTGCGCCGCGAATTTAATCACACTTGGATCGACTTTAACCGCAATACTTTACCGTTCGTATGGAATCCACCAATACGGGACAGCAAACTGACTTCCCAAGCAGGATTACCTAAGCAATCAATGTAGAATCCACCAGAATCACTACTAGGCTGACTTAATTATTTAGGGGTTTGGCATTTTTGCTTAATTTAGTTGACTCCGGCCGACGCCGCGAATTTTTTCACAATTGGGTCACCTAAACTAAGAAAATCTGCCAAACTTCTAAATACGCTGTGGCAGTCTTCGCAAAACAGTAGCTTCCGTGAGAGCAACTGAGTTAATTTTCGAGATCTGGACCACACTGAAGTTGACAGCGCTTACTTCGTCCACCTTCGTAAAGACGGACTGAAAGTAGCAGGATAGATGCTGCGCCTTTTCAGTGTTCCCGCAAATTTCTACACTATCGCCTCCTTTTAACAACTTAATAGAGTCCCTATTTTGACTGCATTGCCAAATGTAGCTGTAGTAATAATTTGGGTTTCTTACTGCAAGTGTTATGCGGCTTTGAATGCCAACCAGTCACCGAGAACACACCCGGTGACTGTTTCATTCCATTTTATCCTGCTCACTGTGGTTTTCATTGAAGTAAATTTTCGCACCTTATGTTGTGTCTGATTATCGCAGTACGATCGGGCACAGAGAAGAGTGAATACTCCCTCTGTCATGCTACGTGGCCACTATTGACGAGAGGAGAAAAACAATTTGCGACGTCTACCATGCCAAGCGCTTTTTTAGTACAAGGTCTTAGCAATTGGCCTGCTACCCTTCGTCTAGTCTGGTTAGATACAGCACGCGTTCCGTTAGGAAGGAGTTTTGTACAGTCGTCGATCAAAAGTTACTTCTCAGCCAGGCGCAGAAATCAGATTCCACATGATATATGGCGCGTAAAAGTCTTCCATAATCATGACATCGGATCTCCTAGCAAATGCTTCGACTTTCTCTATCCGACTAGTGCCTGACTGTGGGTTGCTCGACGGTGGACGGGTAACCGTCACGATGTCAAAGGCTTGCAAACTCGGGGTTCTAACGGTGAGCCATATTGCCCGCAAGGTTTTCGATTTTGTCCGGCACGAGCAGACCATGTCGAACATAAATGAACACAGTCCAGCTTTAACGCCCGTATAACCTTTACTACACCCGTTCCCGCATTATGTACTGATGCTACTGATTCGGGAGGTAAACTAGACATATACAGTTTACTGAATTCAAAATCGACTCTGCTAGCAGGTGTGGAAATTGTAGTATGTTTTTATTGAATTACTGTGAAGCCACAAACAACTACCGATATAATGCTTGCATACTCAGATGGCGGACAAAGTAAACGGAGCCTAGAACAGCCATGGCTGGCTTATGATCTAAAATCAGTCAAATATGCATAACCTCAGCTTCGAAACCACTCCCACCTAGATGTTCAAAAAACTCGTCTATTAGCCAAGGGCTCATAGTGATCTCGATTGTGATATGGAATATCGGCGATGCTAACGGAGGTTTCTTTGATCACCTACGAGACCCACTATTCCCGGTATTCCCTTTTGGGCTTAGTCTTGGTCCACGCAGACAGCCATGTAGTCACGTATTTAGTCATTTATGAAATTTGCGGTCTAATTGCTGACGACATTTCGGCACCATGACCTTTAAGAAGTTCTTTTGGGTGGTGCACCAGTCGAGGTTTGAACTTGCGACCTTTTTTTCCAGAAATGCAGTGCTGTAACCATAGGGTAACGAGCTTTGTGCCTTGTCGGTTTTAGATCAGGATGTAATAACATTCGTTGATCAACATTCACCGTTGTATGGCACTATGCATTTAGCAGCCTCTCAT